TTGTTGTTAAGTGCCGTTGAGTCGTAGGCGACCCTATGAATGAAAGTCGTCGACACTTGCGTGACTTTCAGCCTTGCTCCAGCTTCATAGGGTTTCTGGAGACAAGCTAATACAGAAGTGGATGCCACGCCTGCTTCCAAGCTTAATTTAACCAGGGCACTCCACCAAACACTGTCCATCATGGGTAACCGTTATCACATTTGACACGATGTTGGTACATAGAATGCTGAAATTTCTAATTAAGTTTATGTGCAAGCAAGAGTTCCTAGGTGGTACAAATTATTAACACCCTTAGTTGTTAATTTACTAGGCAATGTGGAAGAACTTTGGTATCTACTTTGAAGAAAATGGGTCCTATAAAACCCTATGGCATATAGTTCTACTCTGATGCACATGGGGTCATCATGAATCAATCAACTCAACAGCACCTATATTATTTTATGTGTTAATCAGGACAGGCTAGGTCTGTTGTAACAATAAATGGGGAGAAACACTAGTAACGTAATTCTAGTAACATAACTAGTAATTTAATTCTTACTTCTAGACCAATAAACAACATTATGTTAGAGAAAAGATTGAAGTTGTCAACAACTTTTTTTTATCCACAATCAACACTAATGGTAACACCAGTCAAGAAATCAAAATCATAGTGCAACAATGAATGAGTGGAAGCCCAAAATCTCTGTAAATGTTTATGAAAATTAATAAAATAGAATTATAGGGAAAAAAAAAGAAATCAAAATCAAAACACAACTTGGGAGGGACTGACGAGCGTTATGCTGAGTGAACTAACTCAGTCCCATAAGGATAAATACTGTATGAAACTGTTATTTATTTAAGAAATACAAATATGACTAGTAAAGTGTGTATGAGGATCCAAGTTGGGAGAGGGTAGGATAGAGGGTGAGGATGGATGGGGGAAATCCCAGGGTCACACAATTTGATGGATGTAAAGATGGATCTATAAAGGAAATGGGAAAGATCTGACAGGGGTCTGAATATACAGGGCAATGGTGGGCATTGTTTAATGTTGATTAATTTTATAAAATATTTTGAATGAAAATGATTGTATGAAACACAATGTGAATGAAGGACAGCATGAAACAGAATGTATACAAACTTTGTAAGCAAACCAATAAAAAAGAAAAAATATAAAAAGATATGTTTACTTGGGAAAATCTGCTGTCTGATAAGGACCTTCCTAAAGTGCTAAAAAAGCTTTGATATTAGCTTAAAGTTTAAGGTATACCTTATCTGAGCCATGGTATATTCAGTTGCTTGCTTCATATGCATCTGGAAGCTGAACAAAGATTAAAGAAGACTGAAGAAGAACCAGTACCTTTGGATTTTGTTGTTAGCAAAGATACTGGCTATCTCATGGACTATTCAATCTTTGTCTTCTTGATGTTGAGATGTAATCTATACAAAAGGATGTAGTCTTTGATCTTTTGCAACAATCATTTCATCTCACTTTCAGCAAGCAAAGTTGTGTCATCAGCATAGTGCAGGTTATTGAGGAGTCCTCTTCAAATCCTGATCCCACACTCCTCTTCATAAAGTCCTGCTTTGTGAAGTATTTGCTCAGTATACAGATTGGATAGGTCTGGAGAAAGGATACAGCCCTGATGCACACCCTTTCTGATCTTTAACCATGGAATGTTTCCTTGCTCTGTTCACACAACTGCTTCTTGGTCTAGGTATAAATTTCATATGAGCACAACAATATTTTGCTTGTGTGATATATTAATATTAATGATATTGTTCAGTAGTTTTCACGTTTCATTGAAATCATCTTTCTTGGGAATGGGGAAAAATATGGAACTCTTCCAGTCAGTTGGCCAGGTATCTTGTTGTTGTGTCATCAAATTGCCTGTGAACCAGAGTGACTTTATATACAGCAGCTCTGAACACTGCCCTGTCCTTAGCCAGTCTCACTAATTCTAACACACCAATCCCCAGTGCATCCCCAGTGCCCCAGTTACTGTATCAATCCATCTCATTTATGATCTTCCTCTTCTGTGCTGTCCCTCCACACTTCTGAGCATAGTGTCCTTCTCCAAAGACTAGTCCCTCCTGGCCACATGCCCAAAGTGTGTGAGATGACGCTTCAAAATCCTTGCCTCCAAGGAGAAACTTGGTTTCAACCTCTCCAAGACAGACCTATCTGTTTTCTTGGCAGTCCATGATATGTTCAGTACTCTTCTCCAGCACCACAATTCAAAGGCATTGATTCTTCTTCTGTCATCTTATTTATTGTCCAGCTTTCTGATGCATAGCAAGTAACTCTGAAGACCACTGCCTAGATTAGATGCACCTTAGTCTCTGGACTGATACCATTGTTTTCAATACTCTGGAGAGGTCTTGACAGAAAATGTTCCCTAATGCAATTCATCTTTTTATTTCCTGACTGCTGGTGCCATGAGTGTTTATTTTTATAGAGCCAAGAAAGCTATAATTGTTAACAATCTCAATCTCTTCTCCATCCATCACAATGCTGCCAGTTGGCCCAGTGGTGAGAATCTTTGTCATCTTGATGTTGAATGTCAACCCATATTGCAGACTACAGTGCTTGATCTTCTGCAGATCCTCTTCATTTTCAGCAAGCAAGGTGTGTCATCTGCAAACCATACATTATTTGTTTTGGGGTTTTTTTGTTTTTTAAATTTTTTTAATTTTAATTTAGTTTGTTTATTTTTCATTTCAGTGAACATCTACAGAGATTTTGGAATTCCATTCATTTTTTGGTCCCCCGTGCCCCCGACAAAACCATTGTCCTTCCCCCCCCCCCCGTTTGCTCCTCTCCTTGAAAAGCAAAAGAAAAACTACCATACATTGTTGATGAGTCTTCCTTCAATCCTGATGCTACATTCCTCGTCATAAAGCCCTTCCTGAATGTTCTGTTCTGAATATAGATTGAAAAGTTATGGACACTGGAACCATGCAGTGAGTGTTTCCCTGCTCTATTCTGAGGACTGCTTCCTGGTTAAAGTATAGGTTTGCCAAAAGTACAATCAAGTTTTCTGGGATCCCTATTTTCCTCAAAGTTAGCCAAAGTTTGTTGTGATCTACACAATCAATGAAACACAGACATTCCTCTAGTACTTTCTTCTTTCTGCCATGATCCATCTGGCATTGGCAATAATGTCTCTACTGCCACAACCACTTTTAAACCCAGCTTGTATTTCTGGTAGTTCTCTAACAATGTACTATTGTTTCAGTAATTTCTGGATAATCATCAGCAGGATTTTGCTAGTGTGTGGTATTAGTGATATTGTTCAATAATTTCCACACTCTGTTGGGTCACCTTTTTTGGAATGGAAATAAATACAGATCTCTCCCAATGAGTTGACCAGGTAGTTGTTCCCCAGATTTCTTGGCACAACTTGGTGAGCACATCCATGGCAGCATCTGTTTGTTGAAATTCATCAAATGGTGTTCCATCAATTTCTGGTGTTTTATTTTTTTTCCCCAAGTCCTTCAAAGCAGCCTGAACTTCCTCCTTCCTATTAATACCTGTTTGTTACATGTTCGATCACTTTCTGACTGCAACAGTTGGTAGAAATAATCTTTTTCTTCCTCTTTGGTTGTTGACGCATACATTTTAATGATAGTGGTATTTATAGATCTTTCTTGCATGTGTATGAATATTATCCTGTCACTCACAATATTGTATTTCAAAACGGATTTAGAAATGGAATTTTTAACTATGAAAGTTACCTCGTTTTTTCTAACCTTTCCACCTCCAGCGCAGTAGACCACATGATCATTTGATTCAAAATGTCCCACACCAATCCATCTCATTTTGCTAATACCAAATATGTCAATATTTACACATTCCATTTATTTCTTAATAATGTCTACTTTTCCTATATTTGTGTTTCTCACATTCCACATTTCAATCATTAGTTTCTGCTTCAAACTATTCTTCCTTCTTTGTGTTTCCTAATTTGAAAGTCAACCTCAGTGACCATATTTGGTAGGCTACTCTAAGAGCATTTAAAAATATTAATCTAGTTATCTAGTTGTGAGCATTTTGCATAACACAGAAGTGTGTGTGTGTGTGTGTGTGTGTGTGTGTGTGTGTGTGTAATGGAAACACAAAAAATGGTCATGGTTACTGTGCAATAGAAATGGATGGAACTGCCTAGACTGTGGCCCTTAGTCATCCTTCAAACCTAGAAAACTCACCTCATGGCTCACTTTTTGGGAATATAGTAGGCAGGCCTAGATGGAGCACAGAATCAAAAAGAGGCATTCACTCCTTAAAATAACCAAGTGTAAAATAACAAAGGTTTTTGAGGATACCATGGACTGCTAAGAAAACAAACAGATTCATCCTGGAGAGGGTTAAACTGGGCTGCTCCTTGGAAGCAAGGATTCTGAGGCTTCGTCTGACATACTTTGGTCATGCTGTAAGGAGAGACCGGTCCTTGGAGAAGGACATCATGCTTGGGAGGGTGGAGGGCAGGTGCAGGAGGAGAAAGCCCTCTAGGAGGGGGATTGATTCGGTAACTGGGGTAATCGGGATGAATGTGTAGGAGACAATGAGATTGACACAGGACAGAACAGAGTTTAGGGCTGTTGTACATAGAGTCACTATGAGTTGCAAGCGACTCGACGGCACATAAATCATCATCATAATAACAAAAAGGTAGCATTTACCCAAGTTTAAAACCAAGAAGGTAAGAAACGATAGCATAGAATGATTAATATAAATTAGGATCAAAAGGAAAAGTGACAAGGCTGGTTATTGTAATTAATGTTGTAAAACAAATATATGAATGGTTGAATGAAGAACTTTGTAAACTTTCACTCAAATCACAATTAAAATGAGTAATTCTAAAATGGAGGCAGAACTAGAGGAGGTGGGTGGAGACATCAGAGTATAATTTCATGAAAATATACATTTTATATTAGACTTTGCAACAGTGCAGGTCCAGCAAAGAGCACTTTGCTATATGAAATTAATACAAGTTTCTGTTTGGACGCTCCTGTTCCAGATAAACACTGGGCAAGCTGATGGAACTCCTGGTCTTGACTTGAATGTGGCAGAAGCTTGGGAACTGGGCTACACGGGGAAAGGTGTCACTATTGGAATCATGGATGATGGTAAGTATTTTTGATGCTATTATATCATTTGGAAACAAACGTGTCTTTGCATGACTTCAAAATATGAAAGAGTCATTGATTGGTAAAAGCTAATCAGAGGGAAAAATTATCAGACTCTGTTACTGGGGTAATATTATATCTCATTGTGGCTTTGATTTGCAACTCTCTTTTTTTCCCCCTTTTTATTTATTTTTTTAAAATAACATTCAGTTTATTACAAATATTTAGTATTGGCTTCCCATATTTCCCCCCTTTTGTTTTTATCATAATTATGTTATCATCTAGATGAGCAT